GATAGACCCTACAGACTACAGCTGAAATTCTTAGATATACACTTTCAGTAACGTATGAGAACATAAAAATCAGCAAAATATCCGAGCAGCTATTGGCAAGGAGGCAGGGTCAGTTTTCTTCAGGGATGAGGTCCCTGAGAAGCTGTAGATAGCCTTAAACCAATGCACAAACAAACAACACTAAGTGGACCCAGTAGATTCAAAAAAAAGAAGAAAGAAAGAAAGAAAGAGGGAAGGAAGGAAGGAAAGAGAGAGAGAGAGAAAGAAAGAAAGAAAGAAAGAAAGAAAGAAAGAAAGAAAGAAAGAAAGAAAGAAAGAAAGAAGAAAGAAAAGAGAGAATATGTGCCTGGTATGGTGGTTCCTGATTCAGTTCCACTTCTCAGGAGGCAGGGACAGGTGGATTTCTGCAAGACCAAGACCAGCCTTTTCTACATAGTGAGTTCTAGGCCAGCTGGGACTATAGAAGAACCTCTCAAAAATAATAAATAAATAAATAAATAAATAAATAAATAATAAATAAATAAATAATAAAAATAAATACACATGAAGCTAGAAGGGAAAGTGGTGATAAAGAGATTAAAAGAAGAATCAGAATGGAGGAAATGAGATTTGATCAAAACAATTATTTGCATGTATGAAATTCTCATACAGTATAAATGGAAATTATTATTTTGAAAAATTAACAGAATAATCAGTAGCTTTTCTCTATACTGTTATATTTGCCACAGAAAGTTTAGGAAAAGCATCTCATTAACAATAACATCAATGAAAATAAAAACACCTAAGAATTAATCTAAGTAAGGTGGTGAAAGATTTGTATAATGAAAACTTTAAGATACTAAAGAAAGTTATTGAAAACATCAGGAAATGGAAAGAATTCTCATTCTCAGATTGACAGAATTAATATTGAGAATATGTTTATATTACCAAAAGCTGTCGACAATTTCAACTAAAATTCCAATGACATTTTTAAAAGCAGTCTCAAAACTCATATAGAAACACAAAAGCTTTCAAAGCCTCAAAGCGGTACTAAGCAGAAAGAAAAATGCTGGAGGTTTCACAATTCCAGATCTCAAGTTAGACTAAGGAGACATCATGACAGGAATGACATCATCTGTCACAAAACAGTCGGGTAGACAAAGGGATAGAAGAAAGGTCCCAAAGACAAATTCACAGACCAAGAAACACCTAATTTCATAAAAGATCTCAAGATCACTCAACTGGAAAGAAATACAGTCTGTGAAAACTGGGCAACCACAGGTAGAGGAATGGAATTGGAGCCATATCTTTCATAGTGCATGGAAGTGTAATCAAAATGGTTTAAATAGCTAATATAACATTTAAAACTTTGGAACTGTTGGGGTAAAGTACTTCAGGATGTAAGCATAGGCATAGCTTTCTGAAACAGACTCCAATAGGAAAAGATATATCCCCACCAACTGACAAAGGGTTATATGAAGTCAAAAGCCTCCTTCAATAAAGAAATATAAAAACCAGAGTGAATAATCAGCCTACATAAAGAGAAAAAAGTGCTAACAATATATTGGGCAGGTGTTAATATCTAGAATGTAAAGAAACAAAACAAAACAAAAAACAGCTGCATAGAATCATATGAGCAGGTTCTGATTTTCCTAAAACAAGGGACTCTAGAAAGGCTGACTAGATTTCAGTGGATGAACTTGCACTGGGGCACAGCTGGAGACACTGACAGCACAGTGGGCCTTAACAGGGATGACAAAGTATATGGGCTCCAGTGGGGTTGCTATGGGAGGGTGTCAGTGGGGATGGGGTTATAAAGATGATTAAGATTGTATGAGACGCTCTGTATGAAACACACAAAAATTCAATGAAAACAAACAAAAAAATTTAAGCTGCAAAAATTTGATAACAAAGAGAAAAATCTTTCAATCATTAAATGAGCTAATGAATGAAATAGACAATTCACAAGAGACACAAATGGACAATAAATATTTGAAAGTGCTCAAAACCTTACCCATCAAGAAAATGCAAATCAATTCTACTTTGAAAGTTCATCCCTCTTTAGCCAGAATAAAGAACATCAAGAACACAAACAACAAGAAGTCTTGGTGAGGCTGTTGGGAAAGAGAAACTCTTATTCACACTTGTAGAAATATAAACTAGTATGAACACTGTGGAAATCAGTTGGAAGTTTTCTAAAACGTAAAACTAAAACTACAATACGACCCAGCTAGACCATTCCTAAGCATATACACAAAGGACTTTATAAACTACTACAGATGTCCTTGAACATCTATAATTACCACCGCATTATTCACAATTCCTAAAATTGGATCCAGTCTAGATATCTAACCACAAGTGAAAGGATAAAGAGAATTTAGATTTAAGCACAAGGAGATTTATTTGTCCCTAAGGAAAAAGGAAATCATGACATTTTTAGGTAATTGGATACAGTAAGGAATCAGTATGTTACATAAAAGAAGACAGACTCAGGAAGACAGACACCATAATTTTCTTCATATGTAGATTCTAATTGTGTGTGTGTGTGTGTGTGTGTGTGTTGGGTGTTGGCTGTGGATCCATAAAAGGGATCTTGAAAGGGAAACAAAGAAAAAGCTGCCTTAAGCATGAGGAGTAAGAGGATGTGCAATGGAATACATGTGACATGAGGGTAAGATGTGAAGACTATACAAAGCAAAAGGGGCCAGGGGAACCTGGAGGGGGGTAAGTTGTGAAGAAACAAACAAGAAACAGTATGCATAAAAATGTGATAATGAGGGTCTGGAGAGATGGCTCCTTGGGTAAAGCACTGGCTGCTCTTACAGAGGATCTGGGTTTGATTCCCAGCGCCCACATGGTGGCTAATAACCATCTGTAACTCCAGTTCTAGGGGATTCAGCACTCTCTTCTGACCTCTGTGGGCATTGCATGACACAGGTGCACTTACACACATGCATACAATACATTCATACACATAAAATACAAATAATTTTTTTTTATTTCATTGTCCTCATACCTTCGCCAACAATATATACTCAGCAGAAACAGAGCTTTTCAGATAAGATGGTAGATTAGGAGCCATGTCTGCACAAATGCATGAATTCAGTTAAAGGCAGGAGAAACATGCTCCTGCCAACTCCACAGTTCACTGTCTGACTAGCTCTTGTGCTTAATGGCAGTAAAATTCTCCCTTTAAGACCAAGCTTCCATCAACCCTGCTACTGCAGCCACCGACAACATGGCCACCATAGCTGCCTAGTTGCTCAGCCTAAAGTATACTCTCTACCATTGAGCTGCCTACATGATTGACACCAACAGTGATCGTTTACCACAAAAGGATGCTCAGCAGTCATTGCGACTTGCATTGCCCTTTCTACTGCTACCACTGTCCCACCGATGACCATAGCAACCACCCCAGGCATCAGTGTCAATTATCTCTGCCACTGAATTACACACAGGTGTTGCACTTGAATTTCAAGAGAGAACAGGCCTGATGGAAAGCGAATACAGAGGGTAGAGCTGAGTAGAGCTCAGCAGGGTGAGGAGAGTGCCAGGGCATGAAGTGTGGACAGGGAGCCAGAACAGGAGACTGCAAACCAGAGTAACCATCTTTCCCTCCTGTGCTGTGGACAGACTGACTTAAAATGGAGCACTGCGGTGTGGAATTCTGTCATCTGCCAGCAGATAGTACTCAGCTGGGAGGGTCATCCACATCTCTCCAGAGCATGCATCACAGAAAGCCCTGCCTGTGGAAAGCCCTACCCCTAATTTATAATTTCAATATTTTAAAAAATCTGTTATTTTAATTTTATATATATGAGTGTAGTGACTACATGTATACAAGTGCACCTGTGACACGCAATGCCCATGGAGGTTAGACTATGGGGTCGGACACCCCTGGAACTGGAGTTATGGAGGGTTGTTAGCCACTATGTGGGTGGGTGCTGGATATCGAACCCAGGTCCTCTGCAAGAGCAACCATTGTTCTTAATTGCTGAGCCATATCTGCAGCTCCCATCCCTAATTTATAAGGGTCAAAAATTCCTGGGGCAGACAGAGGGATCCTGGGCAGGAAACTCCAGCATAAAAGTAGTCTTTTCTGGGGCTGGAGAGATTGCTCAGTGGTTAAGAAAACTGGCTGTTCTTGCAGAAGACCCTGGTTCAAATTCCAGCACCCACATGGCAGCTACCAACTGTCCATAACTCCAGTCCCAGGGGATCCAACAGCCTCTTCTGAACTCACAGGCATTGCACAACATGGGTGCACTTACCTACATGCAGACAATACACACATACACATAAAATAAAAATAATAAGTAAAATAGTTTTTTAAAAAGTAGTCTTTGTGCTGGCACACACCTTTGATTCCAGCACTCAGGAGGCAGAGGCAAGCAGATATCTGTGAGTTTAAGGCCAGCCTGGTCTACATAGTGAATTCCAGGACAGCTGAAGCTACATGGAGACCCTGTCTCAAAAAGTCCAAAAAAAAAAAAAAAAAAAAGCAATCTTTTCTTTTAGAAGTCCTCCTCCTCTGAAGACCCAAATTCAACATGTCTGAACTGCAGAGATTTGTACCATATATCTGAGCACTCAATTTTATAAAACAAACACTAAAAGACATGTAAGACCACCTAAGTCCTGATACAATAATAATGGTAGGTTTCAACACTCTATTTTCATATTTATATGACCCTTCCAAGCTGAACACAGGGAAAGAAATTAAAAAATAACTTATACCATAGATCAAGTAGACTTAGCAGATAACCACAAAATAGTCCATTCCACAGAGAAGGAATGCAGCTTTGTCTCAGAGGCACGTGGAACCTTGACTAAAATTCATCACAAGCCATAAAGAAAGCCTTAATTAATATGAAAACATTGAGAGAACTCCTTTTATCTTAGAAAACCACATGGTGTAAAATTAGAAATCAACAGCAAAAGAAGCCTTTGAAACCATATAAATATTATTTGAATCACCAGTGTGTCATTGAATAAATCTGGGAGGAAAATAAAAGATATCCAGCTTTAAGCAGTGGCAGTATCATAGCCAATGAAACTTATCTGAGGCGCGATTATTGCTAATTGAAAACTTTTCCCAATAACCCACCTTGCCATCTTGCAATATAGTTGGCACTGGCAATTTTTGACAGTCTCTACGGAGGAAAAAAAAAAAAAAAAAAAAAAAAAAAAAAAAAAAAAAAACAGAAACAAAAAAACTTACGCCCAAATGAAAATCCCTGGACCAGAAAGATTCACTGCTGAATCTTACCAAAATTTTATAGAAAAAAAAAAAAAAAAAATCACCGCTGCTCAAACTGCTCCACATAATAGAACGGCAAGTAACGGCTAGGCAGTTTAAGGTACTGTCCTCGGGTAAGGAAGCTGAGTAGTGCTAAATATTCAGTTTAGGGGCTACTTTATGCTGCTGTGCCAATGGGGTGAAAGGAGTGGCCTCAATTCAGCTAGAGATTGGTGCAATTTTTCAGTTGAGATTCCAGGATCAACTCCACAGGGTTAGGGGAAGGGTTAACAGGATCAGCAGGGTGGCCTGGAAGCTGTGAGGTGAACAGGTTGGCTGATAGGTTGGGCTGGGAGCTCACAGGTCTGTGGTTCACAGAGATCAGATGAAGGGACCACAGGGAAGTCTCAGGAAAGGGAGCTCAGGATGGTAATTCTTGGGTGGGGCCCGGGACTGGCCTGAGAACTGAGATGACAGAGGGGACTCACCCTGCCAAGTCTGGAGGGGTGCTCACATCCAGAATGGGAAAGGTATGCCTGTGATGGAGGAATTCTGAGAGCTAAGACTGTACACTCGTGTTTCCCCTCTCCTGGGCTCAGCAAGAATTTTGCCATCAGTTTAGGATAATCCCCTTTGAGAACATTCACCCACTCATCTGCCTATTTTATTCAGTGGCTTCAAATCACAGCTGTCTTCCGTTGTATTCTAAGTTGAACCCCCTTTCTCCCCTACCCTGATAATTTTGATATCTACCACATAATACTTGAGTCTTCCTCTTTTTTTCTAACGAGCGTCAGAAGAACTGAGTTTTTCTATTTTTTATGTTTTCATTTGGAGGAAGGATCTCCCTGTAGCACCAGCTAACCTAGAACTTACTATGTAGACCAGGTTGGAGTTCATCTCACAGAAATCCACCTGCCCCTGCTGCCCAAGTGCTGAGATTAAAGGCCTGTGCCCGAGAAGTTGGCTTTTAAGAACAGTTCTGGCTGCTAGTTTTCCAACCCCTTTCTTCCAGTTTAGGGCAATTCAATAATCAAAATAAAATCTGAAACCATGAAAAAACATTTATTTTAATTATGTATTTACTATAAATGTATTTAATGTAAAGAAATACTCTACTATTAATGACTTCAAAGTGTATTATTATATTTTTCTGTGCATGATTAATTTGAATTCAACAATTTGTAGTAGAAAAATTATAAACCACTTTTAATCAATTCTATAGGAGGATGAAACAAAGCTAAGTAATTATTTGTGTTTTAAAACATATTCCAATTGGCCTTGTATCAATCTAGGCATATGTACATAGAGGTAACATCAATGTTGTTGAAAGTGTCATTGTGCTTAATACATTCTTTCAACCTTTTAACTCAGCCATTTATTTTCATATTGAAAACTACACTGATCTCCCATGAGTTCTAAGGGCACCAGTAGATGACTAAACGTCCAGCTAGTGCTGAAACCTATGTGTAATATACTGACTCAGTATAAAATAAATATATATGACAATTTTTAATTTAGAAATTAAGCACAATAAGA